CGTCTAAAAACTTTCTGTGATTAGTAATAATGTTCCTTAAGCAAGAAGCAGACATTCTAGCAGACAGAAGAGCCTCACAACTTGAAAGAATACTCCATCCTGGACTGGAATCACTACTTTAGTCACACTTCACACTGTTAAGAGCCAGTACCAGTTTTGCAGTGAAGAACTGAAAGTGAAGATTGGTATCAGAACTCATTTATACAGCCTATAAAAATTTTGAGTGTGTATGCACACACGCATTTATGCAACTACAAGTGTTTGTGTTGGATTGGTTTAGATTAAACAGGAGGTTTTGTGGTTCAGGCTATCTGTGGTGCACTGCCTGCTTGCTACTTCATAAGGGCTTATTACTAACCATGGAAAGTTCTTAAGACTCCTAATGCAGTTATACCAAGAAAAGGCATTTTTTCAAACCACCTAAATGGTATGGTATCATTTGAGGGGCTGGGGAAGGAATATACACACAATGAAGCAAAGATAATTTTTACTTAAAAAAACTTTTTTTTTTTACAAAAACTTACATTAATATTTTATTTTGAGGCCATTTGCCTTCTAACATGCCCTATAAAACTATAGCTACATGCTTTTCTAATTCACAAGACATTATTTTTCATCATAGAGAAATCTTTACCAATCACAATCAATCTTTTTATAAGAATCATAAATCTAAACTTTAAAAATCTCTTTAGCCATCCTATTGCTTCATACCGTATCATAACTCAACTAAATAAAACCGACGCTGTTTCTTAACAGTGTCTGCAAACACATCATCGTTTTTTTTCAAAGCCAAACAGTTTCCACTTCTATATTTATAATTTGTAACATGTACGGTATTCCAAATTATTTTTATCTCATATTTTTAAAAGGGACAGCATAAGTTTTATCTATGATTAGGGTGTAAAGATATGTAAGTGTGAATAGTTAAAATCTTTGATTCTGGCTAAAATAATGGGTCCTTGAATAATATTTAATCATAAAGTGGTATTTGGGTTAAAAGTGAATATTTAATCTATAGAGGTTTATCTTTCAGACTTCATTTTAAAAGATCTCCATTAAAAGACTTTCCTTCAAGAAAAAGGAAGCTTACAACGGAGATACTAAGCAGCCTATACCTTGGCATAGAGCCAACAGGTCTTGATGTCAATTTTTGTAATATAGTCCTGAAGGATTAATCAATTTCATTAGAAGTTTAAAAGGTCTTAACCAGTTTTAAAATTAACAAGCAGATGATAACACTAGCATCTTGGAAAATACAGCTTTATAACTTTACTGAAGACACACGAAAAATGAATGCATATCCTTTAAATACAAATGGTCATTCTACCCAAACAGAATCAAGACCTCCTCTTACCCTAGTGCTTCTAGCAATTAATTGCCTCCTCTTTTCCCTCTACTTCACGATTGTGCTCTTCCCTACAGGCAGGAGGTGAAACAGTCAATTACATGAAAGAAGGAACACAGAGGAAAAAGGATACCCTGCTGTTTGGTTCCATTCTTTGCCCATTTCAACCTTTCTAGAATTTTTGGTCCAATTTTCAATGTGATTACTAGCAACTAGTTGAGAGTAAGGCTGACTGTGGATAGAAAACGGCAAAAATTTTGCTCCTTCAAGAATTCAGGGCAAGCACACTTCTCCCAACCTTGCCCTGTGTGCATACCCAGTCCCATGCCACTCATCCACCCTATACTTCCAAGACTCTTTTTCCTCAAGTTCTACTTAATGTTCTGCCCCAATATATTCCTAATCAAAATGAGTGCGGAAGAAATGAAGAAGAATGAAAAAGGGGAGTGGAATGAGAGGCAAGGCTCACTTTAAACCATAATCCTAATCTCTTGGTTCACTAATTTGTACTATTTAAACTATGCTCTAAGAGCACCGATTCTGTTGTTCTTTAATTCCCATTCCCTATACTCCAAACTCTTGTTCTAATTATGGGAGTCTGTGGAATAGATCAGAATTGGATAATGCCCAATACTCTTGTATTAGCTGTAACCTATTAAACATCAATGTATTTTTCCAAAGAAATATTAACATAAACACAATTTGTTTCTATAGTACTTTGGCACTATACTCTAAGTACATTTTATAGATTCATTTATAGGTTAAATAACTTTCAAGGACTGGCTTAGAAACATAAATACCATTAAAAAGTATTTTCTTGTAGGAGTATCTATTCTAAAGTCCCATAGCCATAGGATTCCTTTTATGGATGAAAACTTAGGATGAGAAAAGATCAAGGCCAATGAATCAGTTAGTGATAAAGCTAAAATCTAAAGAAAGGTTTAAGATGTGGACATCACAAACTGGGCAATTTCTATCACAACATGGGACATCCTAAAACGTATTTATGATTTTCATTTAAATTTCTGAAAAGCTAAAAGTTTTAGTTGTAACAAATAATTTTTTAAAAAAATTCATTATCATTCATTCAAATATTTACCTTGGTATTCTTTTACCCAAAACTCCTACTAATAATAATGACCAAGGTTAACAAACTAAAACTGACATTGTCAAGAATTAAAGTTATTTCAAAGATTTATCACTGTTGTTTACAATCTATTATAATTTATTATTTCTTTTACCTATGAATATTTGATTTGCTGGACTCCACCAAGGGTAACAAATTTTTATACACAAGAAATTTAGTAACATGTGGGTCATTCACTTCTTCAACCTTGTCATCAGTAAAAATAACAAACAAAATATTCACATTTAGAAAATCATTTTAAATATTTTTATTGTCATGTAAACAAAGATGCAGCAAGTTTCTGAAAGAAAATCCTTATGAAATTATTTATTTCTTAAAAAACCAAAAAAGGGGGAAAGTCAATGACACATTTTTTTTTCTGTGTTAAAAGTTGGTCTCATTTTTTTCCCACTATACAGGTTAGGATTAAAACACAAGGTGACTCATATGAAACAGAACATTTTTGCTTTATCTCCTTCTCAAAGGTTACCATAAATTGATCCATGAGCACTATATCATAAGATACTAAATTATTCAATTTTACACAATTCTAAAAATAAAATAAATGAATGGAGTAAGTATACACTCAATTATATTTGTAATAAAGTTGAAGTGTAAGAATAAAATATTCTAACACAATTTGTCTTGCCAAGTGCTATGTACAAGACTGTCTGCACCTTCCAACACATGCTAGAGTTCAAGCAGACATATTACATTGTTTAGTTTGGTAGTTGTTTTTTTTAGGAAGTTTATCCTGTTGTTGTTGTTATGTGCCGTCGAGTCGGAGCCAATTCATAGCAACTCCTCCTTGGGTTTCCAAGGCAGTATCACTACGGAAGTAGATTGCTGGCCCATCTTCCTTCTGAGGAGTAGCTGGTGGGTTTGAACCACCAGCCTTCTGGTTAGCAGTCAAGTGCCTTAGGCACTACGCTACCAGAGCTCCCGCTTGGTGGTACCAGCTTGGTGGTAGCACTTTATAAATGGTTTTATTCTACCATTTACCAAACAGCTTTTGTTAAGTTATTCAAACCAACTTCTGCCAAGAACACTAGGAATTTGGTGATAGTGCTTCTTTTGAGAGAAAAACAACTTCTTTACTCAGAAAACTGAAACTGTTTATCTTGGCACTTAAACCTTGTGTTGAGCCTTCTGGAAAGTATTTTAAAGCTGTTGTTTTTTATCCAGACTTTGTGACTGAAACAGGAAAAGGTTTTGTAGCTCTGCACCAAAATACATATTTATAGAGCTGATTTTCTTTCTACACCAAAAATACTAGGTTGATGGCAGCAGTTTAAAAATATAATTTCCTAGAACCATACTACAAATTGGGCTTATCAGTATATTCAACACACAATTATATTTCCAACCTCAAAATCTTCTGATGACTAAGAAATGTTAACTGTTAATCAGACATACTATCTTTAAGGAAGGAATGCTTCATGTAACTATCTGTTCTGTTGGCAATTTTAACAAAAAGAACATTTACTGAGTATTAAACTTCCCTACTCTGCGTGTCAGTGACAGCTGTGTCTCTAACGATTTTATAATTCCATTTTCCCTATTTCGTATGCTTTATCTTCAAACCGGGCAGAATTTAAACCATGTGAACTTTTTTTTTCCCCCGCAATATTGTCCTAATAATGTATCTGAATATAACTACAAAATATTTGGAAACAGATGAAATGAAATAATCATTGCTCCTAACTCCTTCATTCCACCCTAACTGATTTAAATAAAGGAAAGGGACCATAAGAATATTATGGAGTATATGAAGATACATTAAGTAAGAATGATTGATAGACCAATTTCATAAAGACTACCAGACAGCTGCAGTGATCATTCATTCACGAATGACTGACATAAAATATTACACAATCATTACCAATCCTCTTCATATCAAGTTCCCCACACCTTGAATGTTTATAGTTTTTTCCCCCTTTAAATAGTCAGGCTGTTCCTTTAAACTATCTTCATTTTGCATTTCTATATAATGTTTAGATAAGGTCAAAAATAACTTAAAACATTTGTTAGAATGTTCAGACAAGAAACCAGTAATGGTTTAAAAATTCTGATATGGTTGAATTGTCTTATTTAGGTAAAAACAGATACATACTCATCAAATATATCTTATTACAAATCCACAAATGCCCCTGTCAATTAAATACAAATTTTAATTTCAAAGGCCTTACTTTCTGCTGTGACTGAATTCTGCATACATCCAGGAAAAAAATGAGAAAGATCCTATCCAAATGAGTGAAATAAAATGAGAAAAAAATTAAAGCTATGAAGTAGAATGTCACCCTCATGAAAACTTTTATTCTCACATTGCTGTAGTTATACACTGGAGAACACTTCTTCCTTCCCTCTTTCTCTTTTCTCTACTTGCAAAGGAATAGTGGTTTATCTCTGACCATCCTAGTGAGCACAATTCATGCCACTTATGAGGCAAATAGTTTGGTTTCCTAGTTGATGAAAAATCAGAGGAACATTACTTTTGTTATTGAAATATATAGGCATAACAGAACATACCTGAAAAAGAACATGTACATGGCAGCTGTGATGCAGAACAAAAGGACCTATAACAAGGAGAAAATATATTACTTGCAAAAGAACACTGACATCATTTGTACGACTTATAAAACTAACATATCCACTATAAAATCTTGTCTGAAGCTGTAAAAGGATGTACCAAAAAAAAAAAGATTTGTGAATTATATACAAATCACATTTTTATTTTTCAAGTTAATTATATCTGAGCTCTGGTTATAGTGCTTAAGGCATGTGACCGATAACCAGAAGGCCAGCAGTTCAAACTCACCAGACACTCCTCGGAAGGAAAACTGGGCAATCTACTTCCATAGAGATACTGCCTTGGAAACCCAAGGAGGGGTCGCTATGAGTCAGAACTGACTTGACGGTAGTTAGTTTGGTTTTTGTTTTGCTTGAGCATGTTATAATTATATATATATATATATATACACACACACATATATATAATATACATTACATATACACATATATATATATTACAATGAGAGCGCTGGTAGCGTAGTGTCTAAGGCATTTGACTGCTAACCAGAAGGCTGGTGGTTCAAACCCACAGTCATTCCTCAGAAGGAAGATGGGGCAATCTACTTCCACAGTGATACTGCCTCGGAAACACAAGGAGGGGTCACTATGAGTTGGGCTCGACTCAAAGGCACATAACAACAACAACATATGTATTACAGTAGGTACATGTACATCTACTCCTCACCTACTATCTTGTTATCCAACACTTCACATTTACTACAATAGTAAAAAATATACCATCTGACTATTTTGCACATTTACGATGCATGTCGGGCAGTTTTGAATGTCCATTTGCAAGGCAAGATTAACACGGGCTGTGATGGTTAAGGTTATGTGTCAGCTTGGCTTGGCCATGATTCTCAATGGTATGGCAGTTATATATTGACACAGTCCAACTATGATTTGATGTGCTTATCTTCCATTTTCATGTAACACCAACGTCCATGTAACGACTTGGTCTTTGGAATCTAACCATGTCAATAAGTAAGCAGTAGGTATATTATAATTTATACACATAAACACATATATGTACATATATCAAACACACATGTTACATATGATGGGTGAAAGGGTAACTAGGGGTTAAAAAGGAGCTCTGGTAGCATAGTGGCTAAAGCACTTGACTGCTGACCAGAAGGAAGGAAGGTTGGGCAATCCTACTTCCGTAGTGATACTGCCTCGGAAACCCAAGGAGGGGTCGCTATGAGTCGGGGCCAACTCGACGGCATATAACAACAACAACAACAGGGGTTAAAAAAGGAACAGCTTATTTTTAAACTTAAAACTGCCTATGGAAGCAACTAACTTAAGAACAGGACAATAACAATATAATAATATAATCAATAAGCAAAGAAATCAAAACTTATTAACTATTATAACACAATGAACACATCTGTAAAAAATGTAACATACACTCCAGTTGTCAACCAATTCTAATCAGAGAGAAAAGCTCATGCCTTGTAGGAAGCAAATTAGCTATAAAAATTTTCTCTAGGGAAAGCATAAGAGCACACAACAAATTGGATTAAATAAGCTCCTCTCAAACACATCCTACTAATTATAACATACTATGACAATATATAGGAGACCTGGTGGTATAGTGCCTAAGGCACTTGACTGCTAACCAGAAGGCTGGAGGTTCAAACCCACCAGCCACTCCTTGGAAGGCAGGTTGGGCAATCTACGTCCGTAGTGATAATGCCTCGGAAACCCAAGGAGGGGTCGCTATCAGTCGGGTCTGACTCCACGTTCGAGACCTCCATTTGCTGATGTGGCACAACTCAAATTGAGGAGTGACAGCTACAAACATCCATTAATAACCAGAACATGTAATGTACGAAGTATGAATCTAGGAAAACTGGAAGTTGTCAAAAATGAAATGGAACGCATAAAGATTGATATCCTAGGCATTAGTGAACTGAAATGGACTGCTTTTGGCCATTTTGAACCAGACAACCATATGATCTACTATGCCGGGAAAGACAATTGGAATGACAACTGGTGTGGCATTCATCCTCACAAAGGATGTTTCAATAACTTTCCTGAAGTACAATGCTGACAGTGATAGGATAATATCCATACACCTACAAGGAAGACCAGTAAATACAACTACTTTTCAAATTTATGCACCAACCACCAAAGCCAAAGATGAGGACACTGGAGATTTTTATCAGCTTCTGTAGTCTGAAACTGACCAAGTGTTCAATCAACATGTGTTAATTATCACTGGTGACTGGAATGCAAAAGTTGGAAACAAAGAAGAATCACTAGTAGTTGGAAAATTTGGCCTTGGTTACAGAAATAATGCTGGAGATCACATAACAGAATTTTGCAAGACCAATGACTTACTCATTGCAAATACTTTTTTTCAACAACACAAACAGTGGCTATACAGGTGGACTCTGCCAGATGGAATATACAGAAATCAGACTGACTACATTTGTGGTAAAAGGTGATGGAAAAGTTCAATATCTTCAGCCAAAACAAGGCCAGGTGCTGATTGCGGAACAGACCATCAACTGCTCATATGCAAGTTCAACTTGAAGACAATTCAAACAAGTCCATGAGAACCAAAATAGGACCTTTAATATATCCCTCCTGAATTTAGAGGCCATCTAAAGAACAGATTCGATGCACTGAACACCAATGACTGAAAACCAGAAGAATTGTGGGATGGCATAACAAATATCATCCATGAAGAAAGCAAGAGGTCATTAAAAAGACAAGAAAAGAAGAAAAGACCAAAACGAATGTCAGAAGAGACTCTGAAACTTGCCCTTGAGCAGAGAGTAGCTAAAGCAAATGGAAGAAATGACAAGATAAAAGAGCTGAGCAGAAGATTTCAAAGAGCAGCTCGAGAAGACAAAGCCAATTACCATAATGAAATGTGCAAAGACCTGCAGTTAGAAAACCAAAAGGGAAGAACATTCTCGGCATTTCTCAAGCTGAAAGTACTGAGGAAAATATTTAAGCCTTGAGTTGCAATACTGAAAGATTCTATAGGCAAAATATTGAATGATGCAGGAAACATCAAAAGAAGATGGATGGAATACACAGAGTCACTGTACCAAAAAAACTGGTACATCTTCATCCATTTCAGGAGGTGGCATATGATCAAGAACCAATGGTATTGAGGGAGGAAGTAGAAGCTGCACTGAAGGAACCGGCAAAGAACAAGGCTCCAAGAATTGATGGAATAGCCATTGAGATGTTTCAACAAATGGAAGCCCCACTGGAGGCACTCACTCGGTTATGCCAAGAGATTTGGAAGACAGCTACCCAGCCAATGGACTGGAAGAGATCCATATTTGTACCCATTCCAAAGAAAGGCGATCCCACAGAATGTAGAAATTATCAAATAATATCATTAATATCATATGCAAGTAAAATCTTACAGAAGATAATTCAAAAATGGTTGCAGCAGTATATTGACAGAGAATTTCCAGAGGTGCAAGCTTGATTCAGAAGAGGATGTGAAACAAGGGATATCATTGCTGATGTCAGATAGATCTTGGCTCAAAGCAAAGAATACTAGAAAGATGTTTACTTGAGTTTTATTGACTATGCAAAAGCATTTGATTGTGTGGATCATAACGAATCGTAGGTAACACTGAGAAAAATGGGAATTCCAGAACACTTAATTTACTCATGAGGAACCTGTACACAGACCAGGAGGCTGTCGTTCGAACAGAAAAAGGGGACGCTGCATGGTTTAAAATCAAGAAGGGAGTGTGTTTGGGTTGTTTCCTTTCACCATTACTTATTCAGTCTATATGCTGGGCAATAATTCAAGAAGCTGTAGTATATGAAGAAGAATGTGGCATCAAGATTGGAAGAAAAATCATTAACAATCTGCAATACACTGACAACAGAACTTTGCTTGCTGAAAGTGAGGATGACTTGAAGCATTTACTGATGAAGACTGAAGAATACAGTCTGCAGTATGGAATACATTTCAATATTAAGAACGCAAAAATCCTCACAGCTAGACCTATAAGCAGCATCATGATAAATGGAGAAAAGATTGAAGTTGCTAAAGACTTCACATTGCTTGTTTCTACAACCAATGCCAACGGAAGCAGCACTCAGGACATCAGATGACGTATAGCACTGGGCAAGTCGACGACTGCAGAGGACTCTTTCAAGTGCTGAGAAGCAAAGATGTCTCCTTGAAGACTAAGGTGCACCTGACGCAAACCATGATATTTTCAATCGCCTCATATGCATGTGAGAGCTGGACAATGAGTAAGGGAGACCGTAGAAGAATTGACGCTTTTGCATTGTGGAGCTGACGAAGAACGCTGAAAAGTGCTATGGACTGTTAAAAGACCTAACAAATCTGTCCTGGAGGAAGTGCAGCTGGAATGCTCCTTGGAAGTGAGAATGGCCAGACTTCATCTCACCTATTTTGGTCATGTTATCAGAAGGGACTGTTTCCGGGAGACGGATGTCATGCTTGGTAAGGTGGAGGATCAACAAAGGGAAGGCCCTCAATGAAACAGATTGACACAGTGGCTGTAGCGATGGGCTCAAGTATAGCATGGATCATGACGCTGGCACAGGACCGGGCAGTGTTTTGTTTTGCTGTGCACAGGGTCGCTATGTGTCATAGACAACTCGATGGCACCTAACAACACAAGGAAAGAGAAATGCAGGAGTGTAGGGACCAGTGTTTTATAAAAAGTGGTCAAGGATCAAGCTCAATTGGCATAACATATTATACAAAACATTGTTCCACCTACTACTTTGGCGAGTAGCGACTGGGACCTTAAAAGCTAGGAAGCTGCCATCTAGATGCAACAACG